TTTTAATGTGATTTAAAGTCTTTTGCAGAAGCAGGGTTAAAAAAGATTTGTATCATCTATTACCTGAAGGCCTCTTGCTCCTGTTTTTCTTTGTACTGTGTCCATTAAATTTGGTATAGTTAATGATGACCACCTTGCCAATAAAGCCAAAATATCTGCTATGCCGATTCATGAGTATTCAGCTCTTCAGCCCACAATACCCATTGTATAAAAAGTGCAATGAATTCTAATTCACTTTTGATTGCAATGATCTGAACCAAACATGAAACCTAGCTGATCCAAGACGACTTGGATTTTACAATGTTGAACATTATGTGATTGGCATGCTCCAAACAGGAATATCTTTGAATTTCTTTTTCAGGAAACAGAATTCTTTTAATTAACAACATTTTTAAAAATTTCAGTATGTGTAATTGTTAACACCTGCTATGTGTTGCCAACAGATGTTTCTTTCTTACCTAAGGGAACTGTTATAATTATTCTATAAGCTTAATGAAATGGCATTTACTATGATAGTTGGAAAACTTTAGTTGGTGACTTTGTAATATTTGGCTTTTCTTTTCATCTTGTTCCCTATTATTGCCAGTCCCCACACACCCTTCCCAACCTGGGTCACCAAAAGCAAAAATGCCCTTTTTTTTGGAGGGGGGGGGAGAAGGTTGCTAAATGTTTCAAAACTGGTCATGCATAATCTAGTGGTTGTGAAAGTTTTCTGACATAATGTGTATTCTAAAATATTGTAAAACTGTACTTGTGTTTTAGTAGCTAATCCACATAGTGTTTAACATGTAAGTTTTACATCTTGATTGTAAATATAAAAATATACTTTTTAGAAAGGTAATGATACTCTTCCAGTAACTTGGCTTCAAAAGAAGCTACAGCAAAAAATGAGATTTTTCTTGATTTTTTTTCAAAGATGTATATTGTTTTATTTGTAGCAGACTTTCAGAATTCTTCATTTATGATACTAATCACACAATTACCTACAGCCATGTGTTAAATATGACCCTAGTTTCAGTCAAATAATAGGCCAATTGCAAACAATGAATGGAGGCAGCTCCATTTATAATGGCTGTTTCAACAGAGCGCTATTGTCATCATAGTGATCTGAGGGTGACTCACTAATTAATTGATGTTCTTTTTTATTATGTGCTATTGAGTTAATGAGTAATTTGTGTGAAATAATTCTCTGAACACATTGATTACTGGAGATATTTTCTTGGGCTTTCATATCAATGACATGCTGACTAGGTAGAAGATGGTATGTGCTTTTGTGTGCTCATTGCTCCTAGGTTTGAGATAAGAACAATTCAGTGCAAAGACTCCCTAAGGAGATCAGATGTAGTAAGTATCCTAAGGCAACCCTCAGGAGGTTGAGGACCCAGGGCAAGACCTGTCACATAGTAGGTACTCAATTAATGTCACGTGAAAAAATGGCTGTATTAAAGCTTTGCTTCCATTTACCTTGCCTTGCATTAAAATCACACTTAGGAAGTATTTGTAATGGCATTTGTAAAGAAAAAGTAGTAATCAAAGGGCTTTTGCTAAAACTGTACTAGGCGTTAATGGTCTATTACAATAAACATGCACATTGCTTTCCCAACTTAGTTAAGTGAACACTAAATATGTTTGGCCTGTATCATTTCTACGAAATTGTTTAAATGACTAATCAGAGAGTAGTTTGCCTCAAGTGACAGTTAAAAGGAAACCACTTGCGAATGGTGTGTTTGACTACAGATATAATTTTCAGCACTCTGGTTCAGTGAAGGTAAAACATTTCTTCCTTGAAGAGGTAGGATTTAGTTGAGTTTTGTGTTCTAATTCATTATGCAGGAGTGAGGAAATCTGAAATTTAGTCTGACAAGAGCAACATGGTTGCTTTCAGAAAGATCATTTAAAATTTGTATAAACGTACAAAATTATGCCCACCAATTGCTACCTTCATTTTGACAGTTTTATTTTCCCCACAGAAGTAAATAGCAATAAACTACCTAGATTGGAGATCCTGCATATAACATTTGGAGAAAGCATTTGGGGTGCTTTTTTCTACTTCTGACCTGTTAATACTTTTTGAAAGTAAATGTTCTTAGACACTTTTTTCCTTTTGTATACTATGCTTTCTAGATATCATCTTAGATTTTTGCCAATTAAGTGCAATAGAATAGTGTAATGCCCCTTTTATTAAAAACATAAATCCAAATATAAAAAAGTGAATGAAAGAAGCCAGCAGATATTTATTAAGCAAGATGGAAGTGAAATTACAAACACAGGTCATCTTTTCAACTCAGCCAGCACTCTGGTGGGTGGAGGAGCTTGGTCCTTCATCACAGGCAGCCTACATGAGATGCATGTAGGCAGCTTCCACTGCTTGAAGAAAGCAAAGCTCCACTGGAGGTGTCCTACTGGAGCTTTCAGACAATAAGCTAAATGACGTCAGGGTCACACAACACAAAGAGGAAAGTTGACAATAGTTCAGGGACTCTGAGGAGTCAAGACAATAAGCTTAGTACTTCAGGTCAAAAATGCTACTATTTTCAGGCAATTAGCTGTCAGATGGCCTATTTCTATCTTGTTCCACCATTTTATGGAGATTAAAGATAATCTAAGGAGATTAAGGCCTTAATCTTTAATCCAGGTGAGTCATTTTGTTTGTAGAAAAAGCATAGGAAAGAATTCCCAAAGGATTAAGCAAAAGGAAAGGCAGTAAAAACCTTGTTTGGTCTTTGGGTGGTAGGAATAATGGAACAGCTTCAAGAAGCTGAGAGACGTTTGTGCCTAATTTACAAGTATTTTGACATATTGATAAACATATGCAAAAGTATTTAAATATAAAAAAAGATCATTTGCAAAAAGATACTGACAATTCGAATTTTACATTCATATGAATTTCAAACAATTCTTAATGGGGACTAGGAGGGCTGATTTAGGAAAACCACTTCTCACATATCTCTCCCACCTTCCTCCCATTTGTTCAGCTTTGTTTTTTTGGTTTTGGCTATGCAAGTCTTTTCATGAAACAAACGTTAAGTTTCTAAGGCTAAACAATAATTTTGTGGACCGCATACTGCTATTTTTGAAACATCTCTGGGGGATATCTCGAATTTGGAAGACATGTGACTTGAACACTCTTAACCATGAATCCTTTGTAAAAATACATACCATTCACTTTTCACAGTACCATCTTCTTAAAAATGAGAGGCAATATCCAGATCCACATGCATGTTCATAGTAAAGCTTTGTTTTAAAACAACTCAAATCCACACCAGAGTTATTTTCAGTTTAATATTTTGGCCCCAAATCAAGAATTCAGGTATCACATTTAATTTTCATCTGCAGTGCATATTCAGCAGGACAAAGAAAGGATGCAAGTAACACTGGGAAATATTGTTTCCTATACAAGTGATCAATGAAAAATAAGAGAGAAAGCCCATAGCACTAAAATTTGCTCTAGTAAAATATGCTTCATTGTGTCTGTTGTGGAATTAGGTCTGTTGAATAGTTTGAATACAGGGAGCAGAAGCAAAGAAGCAAAGTGTGAACAACCCAGAAGAAGGGAACACAGTCTCATCTTTATTTCCTTAATTGTAATTTAAATAATCAGTCTCCATAATTTTTCTTTCTAGAAAGCTTTCTTCTTTATCAGCTATCATGTAGGTAAGGGAATAATTTTTCACCTTTCAAAAATGGAATGACAGATTTCAGCCTAAGTGTGATCAATTCTGAATGGGTAATTACTTAGAGAAAGCAATGAAGAGTAAGACACATCAAACTTTGAAAGTGTTCACTTTGGAACATTAAAATAAGTGGGAGGTAAATACAGAAAAATATATAATCACCAGTTCTCAGCTTTTTATCAATCCCTTTGTTTCTCTTCTTCTAGAAGATTCTGTGAGCACTATGTTGCTCTGATCAAAAGTGACTTCAATCCTCAAATATCATCATAGTTTCAATGTGCATTATCATGATTTCAGTAGATTCACACTCAAAACCTTTTAGTGCCAGAAATGCTTCAAGCCATAATGTTATTATACCCTTAGCTCTTATGGAGAGGTCTGGGCAAAATTTGCACAAGAAATTTATCATTTTAAGATTATCTCATAATTGCAGTAACACTTTTTTAAAGTAACCCTTTGGAAAATTTTTAAATGATACCCAAAGGCACTAGTTCACATAAGGGGTGAATGGCGCTGAAGGAAACAAAACAAAGCCATTGACTAGGTAAAGAGCACAAAAAAGGATATTAAAAGGATAACTGTTAAGCTTTAAAGTTATTCTAAAAATGGCACTTTTCACGTTGGTAAAAAATGAAAGTGCTTTAAGATGAAATTTTTATGCATTATTTTAAAGCTGATCTTTAACCCCCTGAAAATAGGGGGTTATAAATGAGAACACTGATAAAGACTCTAAATCATAGCGGCAGTAATAGTGGATGTTGCTAAAATGCTTTGTGTGTCTTTCTTTTTCTGTATTTTTAATGATGATAGACTTGTTTAATCTATACGTATCATTAGTGAGATTTGATCTTCAATTCTTTACTAGAAAGTTACAGCTCATTTAAAATAGCTGGTAGATACAGAAAGCATAAATATACAGTAAGTTTAAACACTGATTGTACTAAATGCAACAATACAAAGAAGCAAACAGAACACAAATGGTAACACAATAAAACTGTATTACATTTGTGCTTCAAATATTACAATACATTATATACAATAGTCCAAAATAAACATCTCATGCCAAGTGACACAAAAAAACGAATAGCAAGCAAAAAAATCCAGCAATATGTACATTACATTTTTCTTTAATAATAAACATTCAACTCTGAACTGGGGCAATTTCACTACATACAGATGCAGTCCGCCTTTTATTCCATATAACCATCCTGCCTTCCTATATCTACGCTATTCAGTTGGTTCCCGTGTCAATTCTTATATACACGTGGAGCAAAAAGGATAAAAGAATGTAGTGCTTTGTATTCTTAATGGGGTGATGTTGATAGATCAGCGAACCTGGGGTGCATAACCTTCTTTCATTAAACCTTCCTCGTAGTCCGTCTGGCAAAGGATCATGTTATTCTTAAGGAAAAATTTGTCTCCAACACAAAATCTGAAAATATTGATAAAAATAAAATGGTTAAGATGACTTCATTCAGATCTCTAATTTTGAAGATTTATTTTCCTAATCATCATTTCATATGGTAATTCCCTGAGTTTGAAAGTTTGGCTTAGAAAGTTGCCTTTAAGTCAAAATTAAACCATCCAGGTCATTTAATAAAACACTGCACACAAAATTTGAGATCCCACGTTTATATATAAAAATCATAAGAACATTGAGGAAAACACCTTGAGCAGCAAAGGTTATATTTTTTTCACATACATTGGAAAGAAAAAAAGAACTAACTTGTATTTACACTTATTAATACAGGAGACCTGGGTTTGATCCCTGGATCAGGAAGATACCCTGGAGAAGAGAATGGCTACCCACTCCAGTATTCTTGCCTGGAGAATCCCACAGACAGAGGAGACTGGTGGGCTACAGTATATGGGGTTGCAAAGAGTCGGACACGACTAGGCAACTAACACACATAAAAGAAACAATGATAATATTTCATGGCAGTGATTATGGAAGCTTTCATCACTGCCCATTTATCCACTTTATTAAAAAAAAGAGTAAAAACATTAAAATGAATCAAATGATTAGGGAAGAGCCAATTTTAGAGTTTCTCATTTAAAGCTTCCTTTTATTCCCTGTTATTAAAATGTGATTAAATTCTGGTAATTTGGAAGTGATTGTTCTGAACTGAAAGCTGTTTTAGCATCAGACTTAGATGCTGGGCCATGGGGCTTTGTTTGTGGCAAGTTCACTAACTATGAAATAGTAAGTGGACTTCTTAGAGTACTTCCAATTAAACCTAAAGGAGTAACCTGATGAACTTCTTAATACTGATGTGATAAATAAACTAGTTTCTAGAAGCTAATTATGAATTTTATCCTATAAAGCATTGTTTAATGTGCAAGATAGTAATGTTTTTAATAAGTGCTCTGTTTGTATAATTTCCCAGTGGTGACACTTTGGACACAATTAAGGTCAGAAATAAATGCCTGTGCTGTTTCCGGTACATTTAACAATAAAGTAACTCTGGGGAGATCTGTATATATTTTTAATTGTAACAATTTAACCTTCAAACAGCAGTGTCTGGTAGAGTTGACCCAGTAAAACTACTTGTAATTATATAAGTTGACCTCACTGACCTTTGATAGTGGTCTCCCTTTATCAGATAGTCAATTTCAAATGATGTTCAGGCAGAAATCTTAGTGGATAGATTAAACTGTGTCGTGAAAGCCACACTTTAATGTTTTGTGAAGCTGAAGGTTTAAATGAGGAGCAGTTGGGCTGATTTACATTTGCAAAGATTGGAATGCTAGACAAACAGTGAACCTATTTATTTTCCAACTGGGTAGCTTTGGAAATTTATCCTTATTCTAGCTAAGTAGATAGAGGGGAAAATAGTGTAATAAAAAAAGTAGATTGAAAAGAATTAGCTTTCCTCTTAAAGGAAGATTGGTCTGTTTATTTGTGGAATTTACTTTTTTTTCCCCAGGATTACTGCCTGCTGATGATGCTGATTGAAAGTACAGACTATGCCCTGATCTTGAAATCCTGCAGTTGTTTGTGGTCAAGGCTATTGGATACAATGGACATTCAAGTCTGGACTTCAAGTATATCTTCTTTTTATTAGTTGCAAACTATAAACATGAAATATTGTGCTTAAAAAGTGGTGTTTGGATAAACCAGTTTTTGTAGATTATCTTGATCATTAGGATATGTTGAATAAAAGGAAATATTTCTTTTGTTGAGCAGGCTTAAATAGGCAAATTAGATACTTATCTTTCATGTGAAATTATATAAAATAACGTGCAGAATATATTTGATTACCATTCAAATTTTTCACTTTATATTAATAATGAAATTAATTCGAATTGACTAACAAACTAATAAACTATCACATCAAAAATAATTCTAATAAAATATTCTTGTGTTCTAGCTGATGTTATTGAATCTTATCTTTTCCTGAAAACCAACTAAACTAGAAGTACTTTTTCAACTCCATACTGTCTAAAATTATGCTTTAACTTTTAAAATAAGCCTCCAAATTCTATTTGCTATCAAATAAAAATGTCATTTAAAAAAAGTTTGTTTTGCCATGTTGTGTCATGCCATTCTCACCTTCGGGGGCCTTGAAATATAGGTAATTTTATTTGTAGATTAATAAAGTCAGAGTAATTATATCAACAAAAGCACTGAACCAAGAGTCTGGGGATTTGGTATTGAGTGCTGTGCTTCTCTTCTATCCAACACAAGATATAGGATGTATTTCATACTTTCTCTGAGTCATTTCTCTATGAGTAAGATAAAACAGTTACATCAACGAATGGTTCAGTTCAGTTGCTCAGTTGTGTCCGACTCTTTGCGACCCCATGGACAGCAGCATGCCAGGCCTCCCTGTCCATCACCAGCTCCGTAGGAATGTTAAAATAAGAAGTATATTAAAGGCAGAGAGACATCTGCAGTGAATTGAGTTCAAATCCCAACCTTCTACTCATGATATTAAAAATGAAACTTCAGGATTTTTGTCTTCAACATCAGTAACTTTTGTTAAATTGGTAGTAAAGAGTAGAAATGTAGTATGTAAAGCCTTCCCTCAATGTTTGGAATGTAGGTAATTAAAATAAACACTGCTGATAAAGTACTTACCATGTGCTAAGGCTGAATATGTATATAGATATAGTCATTGCATTTATTCCTTAAATCTAACCAATTTATTAACATTGTCCTTTTCAGATGAAAAACCTAACACCGTCTCCAGAATTTTTAAAACCTACTCAACGTTCCATAGCTAGAACATGTATGGTAGAGGAATGAAAAGCACCCTGATCTCTTTGGATTCAAGATTGAAGCTTTTATTATTCACAATAGGCAAGATATGGAAAACACTTCAATGTCCATCAACAGGGGAATGGATAAAGAAGATATGGTACATGCACTCTCTTTCTCTCTTCTCTCTGGAATACTCCTCAGCCATAAAGAAGAATGACATAATGCCATTTTCAGCAACATGGAGGGACCTAGAGATTATCAAACTAAGTGACTTAAGTCAGGCAAAGACAGACAAATATCATATGATATCACTTACACATGGAATCTAAACTATGACCCAATAAACTTATCTACAAAACAGAAACAGAGTAATAGAGTATGGGTATGAAGTTAAACAGGTTTTTGTATTATTACTTCTCTTTTACATAACTTTTAAAAAAGAGTGCTTATCATTCATTGAGATATAAATGGAATTCATCTAAAATATTCCTTCTTGAAATATGTTGTTACTAATATGTTGTCGACTGGATAAAGTGCATTTTATGTGTGTATCAATTTATATTTAAAGGTCAAAATGAAACAGAACACAGGTGAGGAATGTCACACACATAAAACTTAAACAAAACAGCCTTGAAAGCTTTGGTTAAGAGCCGATTATGATTGCTTTGCAACAAGAGCTGATATCCTCCTTTAAAATGTTCTATACACAAACATGACAAAATTAGAAAAGCAGCAATGCAGATATCAGACATCTAACAAAATGATCTACAACTGTGATTTTGTAAGAAAGCGTAATTTCCAATGTTCTATAACCAGATCCTGATGCAATCTAGCATTTGCAGAAAAACATTATAAAAATAGTGATGGTCACAGGATGTTGAATATATGTATATTAACAGGTCAGGCTAAAATTATTGAAAATAAGATGATATTCTTTTTATAATCTAATCATAACTGCTTGTGATACAGTCAGTTCAATTAATTCTGGCATCATTAAAAAATATGTTGCTGCTGCTGCTAAGTCGCTTCAGTCATGTCTGACTCTGTGACCCCATAGACGGCAGCCCACCAGTCTCTGCTGTCCCTAATATGTTAAGGAATAAAAAGATGCCCAATCAGTTTATTCAACCATCTAATCTTAAAGTTTAAGAATTAATCATAGAATTAATTTCCTGGTATTTTGGAGTAACTCTAGTTAAATTCATATGGTCTTAGATACTAGAAAAGTATAGACAATAAGTATAATTAAGAAATAATCCCTGTAAAATGTGGGGCTTAGAGTGGTTTTGAACAGGTTACCAAATGCCTCTGCTAGGAAGTCTTCATTTGCAACATCCTTTCTGAGAATGAAAAGGTTAACTTGGTCATCTTACTTTCCTAAGGTGAGTGACTGCCAATTATAATTAATTTCCATTTCCAGAGCACTTGGGAAAGAATGGGAATCTAGTCCATATCTCCAAGGTTTCTACTGTCCTATTTAGCATACCTCTGTTACTAAAAGATGGAGATTTTGATACTGTACTTCAGTAAGAAGTGCAGGTTATACACTCATTGTACAGTTGTGAACAAATTTACTGTCTTTTCACAATGACAGCATAGTTATCATCACACAGAAACAATCTTCTCTGTACCAAACTATACTACCCATACCCCAAATCCTGCTATAAATTATTTAATATCTACCTCACTTAACTCCACTCTATCTACTCACATTTATATCCACTTACCCGTGGACAGGGGTTTCCCTTGTAGCTCAGATGGTAAAGAATCTGCTGGCAATGTGGGAGACCTGGGTTCGATCCCTCGGTTGGGAAGATCCCCTGGAGAAGGGAAAGGCTACCCACTCCAGTATTCTGGCCTGGAGAATTTCATGGACTGTATAGTAGTCCATGGGGTCACAAAGAGTCGGACACGACTGAGCGACTTTCACCCACGGACAGAGGAGCCTGGCAGGCTGCAGTTCATGGGCTCGCAAGAGTCGGATGTGACTTAGCAACTAAACCATCACCACAGTCAGCAAAGAAAAGACCCACCTTGAAACAGGCCAGGGTCCTCATACTGGATCTGAGTCCAGAGACTAAAAACCAGACTTTCTTGGTTCAAATTTTGAATCTACCTTTTTCTATCTGCGCAATCTTGGACAAGTTATTTAAATTCTCTATACCTTCATTTCCTCATCTGTTAAATGAGGCCCATGATAGTGGCTACTTGTGGGTTATTTTGAGTAC